ACCCAAAACCTAACCCTAAAACTAAACCTAATCCTAAAACCTAACCCTAACCCTAACACTAAGCCGAACTCTAAATCTAACCATAACCCTAACCTTAACCTTAACCCCAAACCCAACCCTATCCCTAAACCTGACCCTAAACCTAACCCTAATCTAACCCTAACCCTAAACATAAACCTAAACTTTACCTCTACCCTAAACTCTAACCCTAACGCTAACCCTAACCCTAATCTCTAACTCTAAATGCTAACAATAAACCTAACCCTAAACCGAACCATAAACCTAAACCTAACCTTAACCCTAACCATAATGCTAACCCTAACCGTAACCCTGGTTTTAACCCTAAGCCGAATACTAACACTAATCCATAACCCTAACCTTAACCCTTACCATAACCCTAACACTAAATGTAAAACTAGCCCCTAACCCTAACACTAACCCTATCCATAATGCCTAACCCTAATCCTAACACTAACACTAAAACTAGCCATAACCCTAAATGTAACACCAACACTAAACGTAACCCTAAACATAACCTTAACCATATCCTTAACACCTAACCGCTAACCCTAACCCAAAACTTAAACCTAACCATAACCCTAACACTAACACTAATGCTAACCCTAAACCCTAACCACAACCCTCACCCTAACGCTAACCCAAAACCTATCTCTAATCCCTATCCTAAACCTAACCCTAACCCTAAACCTAACCCTAAACCGAACACTAACCGTAACCCTAAACATAACCTTAACCCTAACCCTCCCTACCTATAACCATAACCCTAAACCAAAGTCTAACACTAACCCTAACTTTAACACTTAACCCTAAACCTTAAACCTAACCCTAACATCTAACACTAAACCTATCCCTAAACAAAGGCTAACCATAACCCTAACCCTAACACTCTAAAACTAAGCCATACCGAAACGCTAGCCCTATCAATAACACTAACCCTAGCCCTAACCCTAACTTCTAACTCTATCCCTAACCCTTAAATTATCCCTAACACTAAACCTAACCGTAACTGAAACCCTAAACCTAAAGCTAACCTCTAACCCTAACCAAAGCCCTTACCCTAACGCAAAACCCTACGCAAAACCTAACCCTAAGCCTAACCCTAAACCTCACACTAACCCTAAACCTAACCCTAACCCTAAACCTAACCTTAACCCTAACCCTAACCCTACCGTAACCCTAACACTCACCCTAACCCTATCCCTAATCGCTAACCCTATCCATAACCATCACCCAAACACTAACACCAAAACCCTAACCCTAATCATAACACAAAACCTCACCGTAACCCTAACCCTAAACCTAGCTCTAATCCTAACCTTCTTGACCTGACCCTAACCCTAATCCTAACACTAACCCTAACACCTAACCCTAACCCTAACACCTAACCCTAACCCTAACCCTATCCCTAAACGTAAATCTAATGCTAACCCTATCCCTAACCCTAACCCTATCAATAAACTAAACCCTAGTCCTAAAACTATCCCCAAACCTAATCCTAGAACTGAGCCTAAAGCTAACTCTAACTGTAAACTTAACACTAATCCATAACCATAACCCTAAACCAAACCCTAAAACTAACTCTAACCCTATCCCTAATCCCTACCCGTAACCCTAACCCTAACCCAAACACTAAATCCGAAACCCTAACCCTAAACCTAACCCGAACCCTAATCCTAAACTTAACCCTAAACCTAACCCTAAACATAACCATAACCCTAACTGTAACCCTAAGCCTAACCTTAACCCTAAAACTAACACGAACCCAAATTCATAACCGTAAACCTAACTCTAAACCTAACCCTAATCCCTAACCCTAACGATAAGCCTAAACCTAACCCTAAACCTAAACCCTATCCATAATCGCTAACCCTAACTATAACCATAACCCAAACACTAACTCCAAAACCCTAACCCTAATCATAACACAACCCTACCTCTAATCCTAACCTTCTAACTCTAACCCTAACCCTAATATTAAACCGCACCCTTACACTAACACCTACCCCTAACCCTAACCCCTAACCCTAACCCTAACCCTATCCCTAACCGTAAACCTAATGCTAACCCTATCCCTAACCCTAAACCTATCAATAAACCGAACCCTAGCCCTAAAACTATCCCTAAACCTAATCCTAGAAATGAGCCTAAAACTAACTCTAACTGTAAACCTAACCCTAATCAATAACCCTAACCCTAAACCTAACCCTAAACTCACTCTAACCCTATCCCTAATCCCTAACCCTAACCCTAACCCTAACCCAAACACTAACCCCGAAACCCTAAAGCTAAACCTAACCCTAACATCAATCCTAAACTACTAACCCTAACCCTAACCCTAGGCCTAAACCTAACGCTAAAACTAACCCTAACCCGAAACCCTAACCCTAACCCTACGACTAACACTAACACCTAACCCTAACCATAACCCTATCATTAAACCTAAAGCTAATGCTAACCCTGTCCCCAAACCTAACCCAGACAATAAACTTAACCCTAAACCTAAAACTATCCCTAACCCTAATAATAATACTGAGCCTAACACTAACCCTAAGCCTAACCCTAACCCTAATTTCTAACTCTAACCCTAACCAGAACAGTAACCCAAGTCCATAACCCTAACATTAACCTTTACGATATCCCTAACCTAACCGTAACACTAACCCCTAAGCCTGACCCTAACCTTATCCCTAATCCCTAAGCCTAGCTCTAACAATAACACTAACCCTAACCATAACCCTAAACATAACTGTAACCCTAACCCTAACTATCACCATATTCTTATCACCTAAACCATAACCCTAACCAAAACCCGAACCCTAAACCTAACCCTAAACCTAATAGTAACCCTGAACCTATCAGTCTTCCGAAGCCTAACCCTGACACTATCCCTAACACCTAAACCCGAAACCTAACCCTAACCTGCCCCTAACCCTAACCTTAAACGTAACCGTAAACCTAACCTTAACCCTAACCCTAACCCTAACCCTAACCCTAACCATTACCTTAACACTAACACTAATCCTAAACTCTAACACTAACACTTAACCTAACCCTAACCCTAAACTTTAAAACCAAACCCTAACCCTAACACAAACCCTAACCCAAAATCTAAACCTAACCCTAACCTAAATCCTAACCCAAACCCTAACCCTAATCCTAACCCATTACAATAACCCTAACCCTAACCGTAACCCTAACCCTAACACTAACTTTTAACCTTTACCCTAACCCTAATCATAACCCTAAGACTAAATCTCACCCTAAACTCTAACACTAACCCTAAATGTAACCATAACCCTAAACCTAAACCATATCATAATCCTAAACCTAACACTAAACCTAACCCAAAACCTAACCCTAAGACTAAACCTAACCCTAAAACCTAACCCTAACCCCAACACTAACCCTAACCCTAAAACTAACCATAACCCTAACCCTAACCTTAACCCTAACCCCAACCCTATCCCTAAACCTGACCCTAAAACTAACCCTAATCTAACCCTAACCCTAACCATAACCGTAACCCTTACCCTTACTCGAAACTCCAACCCTAACCCTCACCATAACCCTAATCTCTAACTCTAAACGCTAACAATAAACCTAACCCTAAACCGAACCCTAAATCTAAACCTAACCTTATCCCTAACCATAACGCTAACCCTAACTGTAACCCTAGTTTTAACCCTAAGCCGAATACTAACAATAATCCATAACCCTAACCTTAACCCTTACCATAACCCTAACACTAAATGTAAAACTAGCCCCTAACTCTAACACTAACCCTATCCGTAATCCCTAACCCTAATCCTAACCCTAACACTAAAACTAGCCGTAACCCTTAATGTAACACCAACACTGAACGTAACCCTAAACATAACCTTAACCATATCCTTAACACCTAACCCCTAACCCTAACCCAAATCCTAAAACTAACCATAACCCTAACACTAACACTAATGCTAACCCTAAACCCTAACCATAACCCTCACCCTAACGCTAACCCAAAACCTATCTCTAATCCCTATCCTAAACCTAACCCTAACCCTAAACCTAACCCTAAACCGAACACTAACCGTAACCCTAAACATAACCTTAACCCTAACCCTCCCTACCTATAACCATAACCCTAAACCAAAGTCTAACACTAACCCTAACTTTAACACTTAACCCTAAACCTTAAACCTAACCCTAACATCTAACACTAAACCTATCCTTAAACAAAGCCTAACCATAACCCTAACCCTAACACTATAAAACTAAACCATACCGAAACCCTAACCCTATCAATAACACTAACCCTAGCCCTAACCCTAACTTCTAACTCTAACCCTAACCCTTACACTATCCCTAACACTAAACCTAACCGTAACTGAAACCCTAACCCTAAAGCTAACCTCTAAACCTAACCCTAGCCCTTACCCTAACCCAAACTACTACGCAAAATCTAACCCTAACCCTAACCCTAAACCTCACACTAACCCTAAACCTAACCCTAACCCTAAACCTAACCTTAACCCTAACCCTAACCCTACCGTAACCCTAACACTCACCCTAACCCTATCCCTAATTGCTAACCCTAACCATAACCATAACCCAAACACTAACACCAAAACCCTAACCCTAATCATAACACAAAACCTCACCGTAACCCTAACCATAACCCTAGCTCTAATCCTAACCTTCTTGCCCTGACCCTAACCCTAATCCTAACACTAACCCTAACACCTAACCCTAACCCTAACACCTAACCCTAACCCTAACCCTATCCCTAACCGTAAATCTAATGCTAACCCTATCCCTAACCCTAAACCTATAAATAAACCGAACCCTAGACCTAAATCTATCCCTCACCCTAATTCTAGATCTGAGACTAAAACTAACTCTAACTGTAAACCTAACCCTAATCTATAACCCTAACCCTAACCCTACCCCTAAACTCACTCTAACCCTATCCCTAATCCCTAACCCTAACCTGTTGGGAGCCGTGGCACTGTCAAGTCATCAGACGCGGTGATTGCGAGGCCTGTGGGAAAGTACAAAAGCCTGGGCTAGATTACCCCTCTCATCGAGCCCGCCTGTGTGGCACCTGTTTCTTATCACCCCACTAAGTTCCCGCTTCACAGGGTAGTCTGCCTACCTATTAATCCTATATATAGCCAGTGCCTCCACCCCCGAGAGAGAGAGAGACTGAAGCACAAAAGGGGCCGCGGGGAGCGGACCGGTAGAGGCTTCGGGGCAGACTGAAGCACGGAAGGAGCCGCAGAGAGTGGACCGGTAGAGGCTTCGGGGCAGACTGTATAAGGAGAGAATAAAGAAAAGCCTGACCACCGCCAGACCTTGTCGTGTGTCTTTCCTGCTGGCCGGGAGCGGACATCGACATTTGGAGGCCCGCACGGGGATTGATCAACCCCGAGACGCGGCGGTGGACTGCATTCTCCTACACAGTGCTGCAGCTGCAGGACAGGTGAGTAGAGGATAAGCCTGGGCCCTGGGTGGCGCGCACCTACAGGGTTTGTAGACTCCTCTCAACCTCACGCGTAAGTGGCGGGTTTCTTGGGCCTCACGCGGTGAGTATGAAACATAACACCAGAACTTAAGGTAATAAAAGAGTGTAAAACATAAACATAGAAGTAAAAATAACAGAAGATATATTAAAAATGGGAAACATGCCAAGTAAAGATACACAGCCTTGGTGTTGGTCCTTCGGAGACTCCTAAAGTCCAAGGACCTCAAGGTGGGGCGTAAGACTTTAGAAAATTTCCTTGCAGAGATTGACAGCTTTGCTCCCTGGTTTCTGCCTACAGGGCATGTAAACCTGCCCTCCTGGGAAAAGTTGGGCAGAGACCTTTCCCTAGCAGAGCGGGAGGGTAGAGCTTCAGTCTCTGCTCGTCCATTGTGGGAAATGATACACACGTGCCTAAAGAGTGAGGGTAGTTATGGGGGGAGCTCTCAAGAACTTGTAGAAGTACGCGAGGTGTTTGAACAGGCACAGTGAGGAAGCTCCTGAGAAGGGTCCGTCAAGGAGGGCAGAGATACAAAAGAGGAAGCCGAGGCGCGGTTTGTGTCTTTCCGCAGGAATCGGGACGAGAACCAATGTGGGTCCCAGAGAGGTTGACGCGACAAGTCCCTCGACTGAAGATCAGGCCTGTTCCACCAGAGGCCAACCACAGACCCAACAACAAGATGAGCCCTAAAAGAACTGCAGGACAATCCCTTTTTGGGGGCCTGGAACGGCTTGCTCCCCTATGTGCTACCCTTGTATACGCATGGCTCGCTCGCATGGCCTACGACTGCGTTTAAAAGTGACAGGCTTCCCACATTCTCCTCCCTAGACAACAACATGTAGCAGGGTGGGTGAGTCAATGACGGGTAAGAGCGTGCCTCCCCAGCACGACTCAACCTAAGCCAGGCCCTACCCCGTTCCGCTCGAAAGCCGCTGGATTGTTAGATAAATTTCTCTCCGAGGGTTTTCGTGGAGAGAAATGAGTGCATGCCTATGTGCAACCAGGTTCCGTCCGGTTCATTCCTGGCCCTAGAAAAAAGGACGAGGGCCTCAGGGCCTTGGTGGACCCTGGGACGGCCGACCAGGGTCTACGCTAAGGGCCTACGGTGGGCCTCAGTTCGGGGCATAGGCCTCTGCACTCTATCCAGGACGGGCTGCGATGTGCGTAGCCATCATTTAAAATAAAATAGGGGGAGATGTTGGGAGCCGTGGCACTGTCAAGTCATCAGACGCGGTGATTGCGAGGCCTGTGGGAAAGTACAAAATCCTGGGCTAGATTATCCCTCTCATCGAGCCCGCCTGTGTGGCACCTGTTTCTTATCACCCCACTAAGTTCCCGCCTCACAGGGTAGTCTGCCTAGCTATTAATCCTATATATAGCCAGTGCCTCCACCCCCGAGAGAGAGAGAGACTGAAGCACAAAAGGGGCCGCGGGGAGCGGACCGGTAGAGGCTTCGGGGCAGACTGAAGCACGGAAGGAGCCGCGGAGAGCGGACCGGTAGAGGCTTCGGGGCAGACTGTATAAGGAGAGAATAAAGAAAAGCCTGACCACCGCCAGACCTTGTCGTGTGTCTTTCCTGCCGGCCAGGAGCGACACCGACACTAACCCTAACACTATCCCTAACCGTAACCTAATGCTAACCCTATCCCTAACCCTAACCCTATCAATAAACTAAACCCTAGTACTAACTATCCCTAAACCTAATCCTAGAACTGAGCCTAACGCTAACTCTAACTGTAAACTAAACAATAATCCATAACCATAACCCTAACACAAACCCTAAAACTCACTCTAACCCTATCCCTAATCCCTAAACCTAACCCTAACCCTAACCCAAACACTAACTCCGAAACCCTAACCCTAAACCTAACCCGAAACCTAATCCTAAACTTAACCCTAAACCTAACCCTAAACCTAACCATAAACCTAACCGTAACCCTAAGACAAACCTTAACCGTAAAACTAACACGAACCCAAATTCATAACCCTAAACCTAACTCTAAACCTAACCCTAATCCCTAACCCTAACGATAAGCTTAAACCTAACCCTAAACCCAAACCCTATCCCTAATCGCTAACACTAACTATAACCATAACCCAAACACTAACTCCAAAACCCTAACCCTAATCATAACACAACCCTACCTCTAATCCTAACCTTCTAACTCTAACCCTAACCCTAATATTAAACTGAAAACTAACACTAACACCTACCCCTAACCCTAAACCCTAAACCTAACCCTAAACCAATCCCTAACCGTAAACCTAATGCTAACCCTACCCCTAACCCTAAACCTATCAATAAACTGAACCCTAGGCCTAAAACTATCCCTAACCCTAATCCTAGAACTGAGCCTAAAACTAACTCTAACTGTAAACCTAACCCTAATCAATAACCCTAACCCTAATCCTACCCCTAAACTGACTCTAACCCTATCCCTAATCCCTAACCCTAACCCTAACCCTAACCCTAATCCAAACACTAACACCGAAACCCTAACGCTAAACCTAACCCTAACATTAATCCTAACCTACTAACCCTAACCCTAACCCTAGCCCTACACCTAACGCTAAAAGTAACCCTAACCCGAAACCCTAACCCTAAACCTAAGACTAACACTAACACTTAACCCTAACCATAACCCTATCATTAAACCTAAAGCTAATGCTAACACTGTCCCCAACCCTAACCCAGACAATAAACCTAACCCTAAACCTAAAATTTTCCCTAACCCTAATCATAATACTGAGCCTAACACTAACCCTAAGCCTAGCCCTAACCCTAATATATAACTGTAACACTAACCAGAACAGTAACCCTAGTCCATAACCCTAACATTAACCTTTACAATAACCCTAACCCTAACCGTAACACTAACCCCTAAGCCTGACCCTAACCTTATCCCTAATCCCTAAGCCTAGCTCTAACAATAACACTAACCCTAACCATAACCCTAAACATAACTGTAAACCTAACCCTAACCATAACCATATTCTTATCACCTAACTCATAACCCTAAACAAAACCCGAACCGTAAACCTAACCCTAAACCTAATAGTAACCCTGAACCTATCAGTCTTCCGAAGCCTAACCCTGACCCTATCCCTAACACCTAACCCCTAAACCTAACCCTAAACTGCCCCTAACCCTAAACTTAAACGTAACCGTAAACCTAACCCTAACCCTAACCCTAACCATTACCCTAACACTAACACTAATCCTAAACTCTAACACTAACACTTACCCTAACCCTAACCCTAAACTGTAAAACCAAACCCTAACCCTAACACAAACCATAACCCAAAATCTACACCTAACCCGAAACCAAATCCTAACCCTAACCCTAACACTAACCCATAACAATAACTCTAACCCTAACCGTAACCCTAACCTTAACACTAACTTCTAACCTTAACCTTAACCCTAATCATAACCCTAAGACAAAATCTCACCCTAAACTCTAACACTAACCTTAAAAGTAACCCTAACCCTAAACCTAAACCATATCATAACCCTAAACCTAACACTAAACCTAACCCAAAACCTAACCCTAACACTAAACCTAACACTAAAACCTAACCCTAATCCTAACACTAACCCTAACCCTAAAACTAACCATAACCCTAACTTTAACCTTAACCCTAACCCCAACCCTATCCCTAAACCTGACCATAAACCTAACACTAATCTAACGCTAACCCTAACGATAAACCCTAAACCTTACCCTTACCCTAAACTCTAACACTAACGCTAAACCTAACCCTAATCTCTAACTCTAAACGCTAACAATAAACATAACCCTAAACCGAACCATAAACCTAAACCTAACCTTAAACCTAATCATAACGCTAACCCTAACCGTAACCCTAGTTTTAACCCTAAGTCGAATACTAACAATAATCCATAACCCTAACCTTACCCCTTACCATAACCCTAACACTAAATGTAAAACTAACCCTAACCCTAACACTAACCCTATCCGTAATCCCTAACCCTAATCCTAACCCTAACACTAAAACTAGCCATAACCCTAAATGTACCACCAACACTAAACGTAACCCTAAACATAACCTTAACCATATCCTTAACACCTAACCCCTAACCCTAACCCAAACCCTAAACCTAACCATAACCCTAACACTAACACTACTGCTAAACCTAAACCCTAACCATAACCCTCACCCTAACGCTAACCCAAAACCTACCTCTAATCCCTATCCTAAACCTAACCCTAACCCTAAACCTAACCCTAAACTGAACAATAACCGTAACCCTAAACATAACCTTAACCATAACCCTCCCTACCTATAACCATAACCCTAAACCAAAGTCTAAGAGTAACCTTAACTTTAACACTTAAAACTAAACCTTAAACCTAACCCTAACATCTAACACTAAACCTATCCCTAAACAAAGCCTAACCATAACCCTAACCCTAACACTAAAACTAACCCATACGGAAACCCTAACCCTATCAATAACATTAACCCTAGCCCTAACCCTAACTTCTAACTCTAACCCTAACCCTTACACTATCCCTAACACTAAAACTAACCCTAACTGAAACCCTAACCCTAAAGCTAACCTCTAACCCTAACCCTAGCCTTACCCTAACCCAAAACCCTACGCAAAACCTAACCCTAACGCTAACCCTAAACCTCACACTAACCCTAAAACTAATCCTTACCCTAAACCTAACATTAACCCTAACCCTAACCCTAACCCTAACACTCACCGTAACCCTATCCCTAATCGCTATCCCTAACCCTAACCATAACCCAAACACTAACACCAAAACCCTAACCCTAATCATAACACAAAACCTCACTGTATCCATAACCCTAACCCTAGCTCTAATCCTAACCTTCTAGCCCTGACCCTAACCCTAATCCTAACACTAACCCTAACACCTAACCCTAACCCTAACACCTAACCCTAACCCTAACCCTATCCCTCACCTTAAACCTAATGCTAACCCTATCCATAACCCTAACCCTATCAATAAACTAAACCCTAGTCCTAAAACTATCCTTAAACCTAATCCTAGAACTGAGCCTAACGCTAACTCTAACTGTAAACTTAACACTAATCCATAACCATAACCCTAAACCAAACCCTAAAACTAACTCTAACCCTATCCCTAATCCCTACCCCTAACCCTAACCCTACCCAAACACTAACTCCTAAACCCTAACCCTAAACCTAACACGAAACCTAATCCTAAACTTAACCCTAAACCTAACCCTAAACCTAACCATAACCCTAACCGTAACCCTAAGCCTAACGTTAACCCTAAAACTAACACGAACCCAAATTCATAACCCTAAACCTAACTCTAAACCTAACCCTAATCCCTAACCCTAACGATAAGCCTAAACCTAACCCTAAACCTAAACCCTATCCCTAATCGCTAACCCTAACTATAACCATAACCCAAACACTAACTCCAAAACCCTAACCCTAATCATAACACAACCCTAGCTCTAATCCTAACCTTCTAACTCTAACCCTAACCCTAATATTAAACCAAACCCTAACACTTACACCTACCCCTAACCCTAACCCCTAAACCTAACCCTAACCCTATCCCTAACCGTAAACCTAATGCTAACCCTATCCCTAACCCTAAACCTATCAATAAACCGAACCTTAGCCCTAAAACTATCCCTAACCCTAATCCTAGAAATGAGCCTAAAACTAACTCTAACTGTAAACCTAACCCTAATCAATAACCCTAACCCTAACCCTAACCGTAAACTCACTCTAACCCTATTCCTAATCCCTAACCCTAACACTAACCCTAACCGAAACACTAACCCCGAAACCCTAAAGCTAAACCTAACCCTAACATCAATCCTAAACTACTAACCCTAACCCTAACCCTAGCCCTAAACCTAACGCTAAAACTAACGCTAACCCGAAACCCTAACCCTAAACCTACGACTAACACTAACACCTAACCCTAACCATAACCCTATCATTAAACCTAAAGCTAATGCTAACCCTGTCCCCAAACCTAACCCAGACAATAAACTTAACCCTAAACCTAAAACTATCCCTAACCCTAATCATAATACTGAGCCTAACACTAACCCTAAGCCTAACCCTAACCCTAATTTCTAACTCTAACCCTAACCAGAACAGTAACCCCAGTCCATAACCCTAACATTAAGCTTTACGATATCCCTAAACTAACCGTAACACTAACCCCTAAGCCTGACCCTAACCTTATCCCTTATCCCTAAGCCTAGCTCTAACAATAACACTAACCCTAACCATAACCCTAAACATAACTGTAACCCTAACCCTAACTATCACCATATTCTTATCACCTAAACCATAACCCTAACCAAAACCCGAACCCTAAACCTAACCCTAAACCTAATAGTAACCCTGAACCTATCAGTCTTCCGAAGCCTAACCCTGACACTATCCCTAACACCTAAACCCGAAACCTAACCCTAACCTGCCCCTAACCCTAACCTTAAACGTAACCGTAAACCTAACCTTAACCCTAACCCTAACCCTAACCCTAACCATTACATTAACACTAAC